ATTACAATACGACAAATGTATATAATTTAAAAACTTAAATACAAATACAAAAAACTTAGTACTAATCTGGTATCTTTTCGATGTTTCATTGAATGTGCTTTATGAATTCAAATGAACACCGTAGCATTATGTTCAGGCAAATATTAATTTTTAATGACTAGTGTTTAAAAGTGGGTATATATCTTAAGAACATACTTCTAAATTTGTAAGCGGCTAATTTAAACAAATAAATAGCTATTAAATGGATTATTGGATGGGCACAGCTCTAGAGGAATTAATTCAAGTGTACGTTGTGTTGATTAGCTGGTAGCCTATAACTTATTTTATCCAGATGCCACCTGGGACTGAGCTTGAATAAGGAGGACATTTTATGTGGGGTGTAGGAAATTAAGTTAGTGCATGTGTGTCCATTCCAAGTATGTTACAAAGTTTGAAAAAATTTGTCAAAGTATTGGGGACCTAATTCACTGAAGTTCTTACTACATGCTATAAATTGTACTCGGCACACTGACCATATTATTGGGAAATATATTAATTATTCCCAATATTAATTAGTAAACTGAAAAGTCTAGAGCCATAGTCACACATATAAAAAGTGGAAGAGCCAAGAATAGAATTCAAGTCTCTCTGACTAGTATTTGCTTTTTCAAGTATATCACATAGTTCTTTTTAAGGGTCTTCCAGGTATAACATATTTCTGATTGATATGTATTTGAAAATGGTTATAAATAAGCACCTTTTTGTTCAGAGATTCCTTATTAACTATTGTATGGAGGCAAACATTTACAAAGTAAAAATATAACATTTAAAGCAAGCTTTGTTAATTTTTTCTGAATTCAACCACGCTCCTCTAATTTTCTGTTCATCTACATTTATGATTTGTGACAGAATGGCATACATAGCTATAAATGAATGTTTTGAAAAAAAAAAAGACCACAAAAAAACCCTCACCCTAATCCACACTTTGTAATTATATCACAGCAAAAGTAATACTACAAGCTTTTAGTACAATAGCTGCAATGTCCTGGATAACATCTTAATTGTTCTACCAATTCCTGAGCTCCCTGTGAACAAGAACCATTATCCATATATTTATCTCCCATGATACAATCATCTATAAAGAGCAGGTCTTGAGTTTTAAGTGAATAAGTAAAAAGAATGAAAAGAAACCTAAAATACCAGAAATTACATTGAATAATTTATAAAAATGCATCAAATATTATTTTCCGTGACATAAAATCAAAGCAATAATAGGTGTAGCAGATGTAGACAAAGATGGATATCATTCACATTTAAGAATTGTATAGTAATCCCCGATTCCCATCTATTTCTTGTTATGAGGAGGGGATAATTTTAGGATATTTTTAAGAGGATAAAGAAAACCAACAAGGAAGAATAACATAAAAGAAGCAACAAAATGAAATCTCAACAGGGTGGAGTGTTATAATAATGAGATTCACTCAAATATATTCATTTATTATAGAAAGGTATATTTATGAAAGTAAATACTGGAAAATAAAAGAATATTATCACCTTAAATAGCAAATAAGGACAGAATTGGATAATTGCTAATAAAACACGTGAGTCTCATAGAAAATACTGTAAATAGAGATTAAAGGTACAGAATTATAAGTATGAAAATACAGGAAAAGGTATTCTAGAAAGGAAACAATCTATTTTAAGGTTTTTGGTTGTCTTTCACTGCAATTAATATTGTACAATGCACATAGGGAGGAAAGGGGGATGGGGGAATGGGATAAAATAAAATTTATTTAAAAAAATAATTGTATAATGCAATGGTTAACCATATGGGAAAGAACTAAAAGGATAAATTGTATTTTATGTTCTTATGTTTCTAAAGTAGCCATGGTTAAGAGTGTGTATATAATTGTATGCACGTAGCATTTTAGAACAAAATATAGAATTTTTTCCTACTGTTGCATTTTTGGGTAAAAAAATGAGATTTTTCTAGAATAGGCAAGCTTTAATTTTTATTTACATGTAAATGTTAAACAAGATTTATAGAAGGCATTGGTTTGGGCTGAGCTCCTGTACTAATCCCAACATATCAAACCAATATGAAGTTGCTCAGGCTGAATTTCCATGCCAATAAACTGAAACCAAGTTGTGTATCTAACCTTCTAAGAAATCAGGAGAGACAGAGTGATAGCCAAATCCACAAACAGGCCAGTACTAGCTGGCATGATAAGGAAGTCCTCTCTGCTTCAACTTTTATAAGAAAAAAGTAAGTCTGAAATGATCAATCTGCTTTTCTGTTCTTACTTTCCTCAGCTCTTTTCTATCTATAAAGCTATCCCTGTTGAGCTGAGCTCGGCAAAATACTCTATTTTATAGAATGAGGAACTGTCCAATTCATTTACAATAAATAAAAGCCAATGAAGATTTTTCAATTTGTTGTAATTTTGTGTTTTGACAAAAATAAAAGCCCAATACAAGGTATGCAAAATCTTATGTACACTTCACTATTTCCAAAATTCCACAGGTTAGAAAAAAACAATGTCTGTGGGAAATAAAAATACTAACCACTCACACATTGCCTAATTAGATGATCACTAATTTTAAACACAGAATTAAAAGTTTATTTAAAATTTGCACTCTCATGGTATAATAACCTCACATTACATTAAAAAGGAATACTAAAGCCTCAAACCCCTATAGAAATCTAGGCAAGTTCTCCTAGAGAATTGTACAAAGAACATTTCATATCCTAAAACATTACAGAATTAAAACTTCCATGGACTTCTTCAATTTATAAACCAAGAATTTTAGTAAAAACCAGGACTCAGTTAATCATTAAAATAATCATTTAGAAAACTTCCAAAAAGAATCTGATTCTGCCATGTGTTCTAAAATTCAAGTCAAGAAATGAAATCATATACTTCACTAACTTATTATATACGAAAAAGTATCTTTATCCTCTCATTAATATAATCTGATTTCCTATTTCTACATAAACATATCAAATGGCCTAAAAAATACTAAATATTTGAAAGAGACTTATAGTTTGATAGCTAGATTTCCTTAAATGTTTTTGATACCATCAGTAAGAAAATAAAAAATACTATCATAATTAAGAAATATTGTCCCAATCAACACTTAAAACATTTACCGCTTTGTGGCTTTACTGCAACTAAGTAAGCATTACTGTGTTTGCTGTGAGAATAAAATCTAAATATGTGTATTACTCAACTTAAATTATGAAATTTTATTTGCATTTTGCATATTAATGGCACGATTCCCTATATTAATGAATAAAACTAAAACCTAATAAATGCTTAAGCCTAATATTCTTTATGTAATTTCATTTGAAAAAACTGCATTATTTCTAAGTCAGGAGTTCTTTAGTGTAACATCTGAGATACGTTCTTAAAAATGTTCTACACATTAAAATACACAGCTCTTCCTCATGTTACAATGACCAAGAATTAAATCAATAGCATAATACAAGTAATAACAATATAAAATATTCCATTCACATACTTCTGATTTAAATTTCTAAATGGCAAAGAGTATAGATGATTTTCTCACTCAAGAGGACAAAATTATATTTGTCAGGGAACAAGAAACAACAGTATTGTAGCCTAAGCTGCTGCTACATGCAAAGTATCACTCTTCATCCTATGTAAAATACAAAAAGAATAGGAGAAGAAGACATGAGTGAATAACTAGAACTCATGGAGTCTGTGGCAAATGCATACAGTAGTACAGAAAAGGAGCCTCAGAATTTGGATGAGGAATACAACGGTTCTAGGTATATGAAAGGGAGTTTATTCTCCTTTGGGGGAAGGACAAATAATGGAGTTCTACACATTTGTGTAGAGGATGAAACAAAGAGAAGAGATAAATTTTTAAGTGGCAGCAATTATGTTCCTTAATAATTATGATTTTTCCACACTAGAAATGGGCCTATCAGAGTTAAGGATGGGACAATGAGGCTGGGACAGAAATTGACTCCTGCTACATTAAGTTCACATAAATGGCTATGGAAAGCTGAAATAGGTTTAGCTCTAAAAGATCTCATCTAAAATCTGTAGCGGCATGTACAGCAGATCAGAAGGCCCTTTTCTGCACAGTGACAGAAGTCATTTTATCTACTGAGAGGATCTGAATAAACTCGGAAGCTCAAAGTACACACAAGAGTGTTAAAATTCTCAAAGCAACTCCAAAACTGAAGGAGAAATGAGCAGTTACCATTTAAAAGCACCTCCCTGAAGTAAGTAATCGCATTGAGAAAATCTTGCTAGTTTATAGCAATATAGAGGGCTTGGTTTTTCAGTCTATTAGGTAAATCATTGCAAAACTTTGCATTCAATTACCACAAGCTATAAAGGATTACATTTCTGCCTGTATTCAGCTAGAAAACACAGCAGATAATGATGTTGCCAGCTGTGTATTTTATATATTACGTTACATTTGTAACAAATGCATACTAATGCAGAATATCTCTTTTAATCTATTTTCTTTCAATATGCCACAATAAAACTTAGCCAATTACAATGATTTCAAAGAGCAAAGATGTTATACAGATCTTAAAGAAAGCATTGAGAACATTTTCTCAGTTTTAATGGAAAAAGTGCTGATACCTACCAAACAAAACTGCCAAATAAGAAATCAGTATGTAAATATTCTTATAAAGGTGAATAAGTAGGACATATTTTCAGTTCCCACTGTCATATGCAGAAAACAGTATGTTAATTTTAATTACTGACAAAGCTTCTATTCTGTGCAACAACTTTCAGCGTCTGACATTTAATAGAAAAAGCTTACTTACGCTCCATGCTCCACCAGCTCTATAAATATGCCATAACTGCCAATAACAGGTAAAGCAGCATTTCATTTTACAGTAAGAAGATGCCAGTAAAAATAGAGCCATATATATCATATGTGCATGTAGATATACATACATGTACATGCCTACTTCAAAAAATTTGTTGTAAAACAAGAAAAAATTATTGAAGGTTATATTTTAAATAACTTACCTTTCGTCCATCACTTGCATGGCAATTCACATTTAGAGGAGTCAGTAAAGCCATTAGTTTTTCTTCATTACCACTCCTACAAAAATATAGTAAGTTAATTTTTATAAAATCATACAGCTTATGTGTAGAGTGGAAAATAAGGATTTGCTTCAATTTCTTTCATATGGAACACAATGAATTTCTTTTGCAATATTCAATGCAATATTTCTACTTGTTACCTGTTAATCACACAGTGATATATCTTGGATAATATAGTTTTCTACATTTTAATTTGTTTTATTCACCTTCATAAAGTTATCTTCATTACAAACAAACTTTATTCTGAGAAATAGTCTAAAACATTGAAGTTTAAAAATACATGAAAAATGCTAAAAAGAGTAAATCAATTAAATTATAAATTATCAGAAACAACAAAAAAATAGATGTGGATTTAACATTTATGTCTCTCATTCAGGTTTTGTTAGAAAAATCTTGAGAGGAAAATGAGGATACAGATATTTAAACACTCCAAGTATATCATTTGAAAGGCTGGGCAACTAAGGTTTGTAGATAGGTTAAGAAATGTTCCAAATAAAATTAATCTTATAATCATCAGCACAGTGAAAAATTTTATCACTATATATATATTCATCATGTAAAATAAAGTATACAAAGATTTGGTACAAGGTTGTATCTGCATTATTGCACAAAATCCAAGCAAGACAATAACATCGTCTAGTTTTTATAGTTCTCTACCTGCCCTCCCCTTTCTCTTCCTTAAATGCATTATACTCACTTAAAATGAATAGAATCGCTTACCTAGCAGCTTCTAGGAGTTCGTCTTTCTTGTATTCACCTAGATGATTGCAAAATATCATGCTGTTAGCATTTGGCAGAAGACAGATTAAGAAATGCAGTAGGCAGCAAATAGAGAATGAAATAGAGAAGAACAGAAAAAGAGAGTCCACACCCCGCTGGGTGATGGAGCCGTGACGTTAGCCAGCTTGCGAAGGCAGCATCACCAGTGCCTTGGAGACGGGCAGCAAATTGACGCAGCTTCTTGTCCAATCCTCAGATGAAATAGCTTTCTTCAGACAACCAATGAATGCTAAAACTCGTGTCCAGAAACACATTCCCTCTGATAACAGCATGCCAGCTGAAGACAATGTCCCCTCCCCCCTTTTCTATTCAGGCTGTCACAGTATACTTGGGAAGCATAATCTGTTCTGAGACAAAAGCAAAATAACGTGGCTCTTTAGAGGAACAAATTTCTGGTCTTCAAAAACACAGTTTTATTTGTAATGATATGGAAAGTATTTTTAAAAAATTAACATTACTGAGCCTTATAGTAGCAGAAAATGCAAAAATCAGAACCATGAAGACTTTGCCTCGATAGGAAAGGTTTGTGGATTAGAAATACATGAACTATGTACCAAATGCTATGCACCTTTTGGAGGCAGAGCTACAAAACCGAAAGAGGGAATACATTCTTAAATAGCGGCAGTGCTCTGACACCCTTCAACTTTTATAATTTACACAATTTTAACATCAAATTTTAACAAACAATAAATCTTGAACATGTTTAAAAGGAGGTTGGGGGTCTCTGAGAACGAACAGTTATCCATTTATCATGATGTAGCTAATTTTTCCCACTTCTATTTTTAAAATGGATTTTCAAAATATATCACAGATTAAAGGCAGAAATATAATTAAAAATCTTCCATGACAAATTTCTTAAGGTGCTCAGGATCTAACAAGTTTCTTTCATAAGCACAACTGAAGGAAAAGGAATTTTAATACAGCGTGTGTTCATTCAACAAATAAAAAGGACAGCCAGGACTATGATTCAGTGATGATGCCCTGACTCAGTTTGCTGTACCATTAAAGAAGTAATTATATAAAGTATCTTACCAAATCATTATATGGAAACAAATAGTAAGCAGATATAACATTTTAGATTAAATAAGTTATAATTCCAGTATGAAATAAATTTAAACTTTAGAAAGTTTTACTTGCAAATGTGAATTTCACATTTTGTTTCTGTAGTGCTATAAAATTCATTATATCATAACATACTATAAAGTACCTCAGAATCACCAAACACATGTTAAATTCTATAATCCATTATTAGCAAATATTTTTTGCCTTTAACTTTGTCTTGCCTCTTAGATTAAGATCATGTTAAAATATAAGAAATTCCAATCAGATGTTTTCAAATAAGCAAAAACTTGATCTATCCTCTTCTTGGGGATCTTGTATATCAATAATATCACAGATTTAAAAATATAGTGCACCAATAAATTAGAATGCACAATTTTGTGGTCATAGAACTGGTTTCCCCAATTTCCCATAAATTGTATTTCAGAATTTTTAAATAAGTGACAGCGTAAATGTCATATTATTATATTCTCTAGCCAATAAAACTTAAAGCTAAAGATTTACTCTTACTAAATGTTTTAGGTAACAATACAGAAGTTACAAAATCAATTTTAAAAGACCCTTGTGAGGAAATGACATAACCCATACCCTCAAATGCCTAAAGAATCAAGATATTTATAAACTAAAATGTGGTGTATACCAGTATGTATAAAATCATTCATTCATTTGAAAGGTCTATTTACCAGGTTCAAAAACAAAAGACATTACAATCTTTACACTCACAGAATATTCATCTATTAAAGTAAAAATAAAATTACAGTAAATGTGAAAAAAAATCTTAAGAAATGCCAAGAGTTTACTGGCTAATTTAAATGGGATTAGCAAGAGGCAAGGTAGATGTAGTTTAAGGAGGATTTCCTGGAAGAGGGGAAAGTTGAACGGAGGTTTGAAGAACAGCTGATCCACAAGATAATATCCATAGGGAATTAGGAAGCAACTACAATAAAAGAAAAATTGAGAAGGAATGGCAGCTCTATAAACTGAAAGAAAGAATACTTGGAAAGGAGTGGGTAAGGATGAGGCAAAGAATTACAAGAGTTTTCTAAGCTAAGAAGTTTGAGCTTTATTTTGAAAGCAATGAGAAAATACAGACATAGTTTAACAGAGAGAGTACAAAGCACATTTAAAGATCTGGAAGCTTTGTGATTACACAGAGAGTATTCCTATACTCTAGTTCAGTAAGCTTTCACTGGGGCAGGAAGGTAGCAGGAGAGGGAAGAAGAGAGGAGGAAAAAATAAAGAATGGAGAGAGGAATAAAAGATATTCTGAAACAGTTATGTATAAATTCCTTGATATACAGAAAAAACACATTAACAATGTGAACTGCAAGCAGCTACTATTGAGAATTAATTCACTGATACATGACTCCAATAAATCTAAGTAATAAAACTGAAAAGTATTTGGGATCCTCAAAGTTCAAATTAATCTACCTATATGAACTTCCCATCATGAATAGCTTATCGATGTTTTCACCAAAAAGTACATTCTGAAAAAATGTTATTCCTTCCCAGATAGACTGATAATATGACAAAGATCTCAAAAGGAAATATATAATAAGTGCATCCAACCGAGTCAGGCATGGGTATTACAGATGGCTTTCTGCTCTTACTGTTAAGAGATCCTAGTACTTTAATCAGCTTTTCTGCAATACATCCCAGCATCCACTATCTGGTGCCCAAGGACCACAATCCACAAACAGTTGAAAGTATTTTTCAAATGCTACCTCACAGGAATAACTAAAATAATGAATTTAGAGCCACTCATACATTCTGACAACGAATTTGAGGTACTTAACAGCCAAACCACCAGATCTGTTTCATCTTAGCTAATCAACTTGAAATATTCTGGTTGAGACTATGGAGATCTATGGAGCACTTTTATTCTTTAATAACATACAGATAAAGAGAGAAAGGCAATTATAGTCAAGATAACAGTGTTAGGAATGGAGGATATAGAAGGCTTAAAATATTTTTATTAGAATGAAGTGGGATAAAAAGCGAGTGATAGTTACTTTTTGATGTCTGAATTGTCACTATTAGTAAAATAACATATGTAAAAGCATACACACATAGATATACAAATTAGTATTTTTTAAAGCTATCTTATCAGATAATGGTTAAGAATAAAATTCTCCCTTATACTGAGGTCAGAAACGACTTCTCTTTCTCTTAGTACAAAAGCAACAGTACCTTTTGAATAAAAATGACACAAACTTACATAAATAAAATAGATTCTTGACTGACTTCAATTTTCTCCCTGAAAGTTTTTTTTTACTTCTTTCTTCAGCAATAGATATAATCATAGATATGATCAAATTAGACCTAAATTTTGTAAAAAATCAAGTCATTTGGCTTTAAGACGCAATAGCATGGAAAGATTATCAATTGCAATTGTAAATGGTTAAAGCAATAAGGGACTTAAAAAAGAATTCTGACCTTTCATTTCTCTACTTTCAGACCAACCATGATACGTACCTATTAGCAACATCTTGCCTTATACATGATGCAAGAGAATGTAGTTGAAAGTCACCCCTCTCCATATCACCTCACCCCCAATTTCAGAACCGCTCTAAGCTCTACGGGATCATCTACAACATATTTATTTACAGTTAATGGCACTGGTGCTGCGGCAGTTAAATGGACTGTGTAAGGTTTCACTGAATATTATCCACTTTTTTCTCAGGCTCTGAATGAGGCTAGTATTTAACAGTGTAAATTCACCAAGTTTGAGCTTCAGAAGAAGTGAAGTGATGTAAGTAAAAGAGAAAAGAAACAAAATAATCAGATAATTAAAAACACACAATTACTAGCTTTAAATAGGTTAAACATATTAATAGAATAAAATAATAATATCTCCCATCAAAACTACTTTAAAGCACTTGTAAACATGAGCCCCTGGGTCATGGGAAAAATAATAAAGAAAATTCATTCTGGGTTTGTTCAAATGATCAATGCATTCTGCATTTCCCATAGCATGCTTTAATTCCTTAACTTATTAGGCATCTCTAGGGAAGAGCAATGTAAACATTTCAGTCAGGAACCTCAATTACCAAGTTAATAATAGGGACTTCTGTGTTGCTGAGTGCTAAGCAGTATGATAAATAGGTAATTCTGAAAGAGATATATTTTCATCAAGGCATCAGAAAATATGGCTGATTAATTATAGTTAATTGATTCTGGTAGCTAAAACAACTTATTTTCACAATAAAATATTAATTTAGGTGATATAATCCATTGTTTTCAGTTAATAGACCTAAAAGTTCAAAACCATTTGTGTGGTTGCAGAAACAATGAGGCTAAAGCCCCAGAAAATAATTTAATCTCAAGAAGTTAAAGTCAGGTCTTCCACCAAAAGCAATTTTCAATTTCACTGATATTCTACTGTCTACAAACATGGGCCCCCATAATACCTAAATTATTGTTTTTACTATAGACTCTTTCATGAATACTTCTAGGGCAAGAGAGAGAAAATGAGAAAGCTCTCAGAGCCTTCTTCCTATTTTTGAATCCTATCAAATCTTTCCACTGGTTCTGATACTGACTATCAAACTACTTCATCACCATGAAATATAAGGAAAATTCCTCAACTGGAATAAATTCCTCAAATATCAAGAAATAACAAATTAAAATTGAGGAAATAAATATAAATATACACTGGCCAAAAAATACAGTTGCATAGTAATATAATATATTCTTTAATGCTGGAAATTAAAAGTCAATAAAGTTATTCCTCTAGGAATCTGTTAACCAGTGAGATATTCTGCAAAGAATGCCTGTATTTTAAAACAAAATGACCTTTCAGACCACAGTGCAGAGGAAAGACACTTGATACATTAAATAAAGAACACAAGAAGAGAGGAAAGAAAGAATGGGAGGTCGGGATTCTGATTCTAAACAGAGTCGATTACACTGCTATAT